AAAAAAAAAAAAAAAAAAAAAGAATGCCTAAATGGAGCCCAGCAGGTCTTAGCCTCATTTTACCCAGTCCCTATGCAAGGTGGAGTCACCTGGTTGAAACGCCTCTATTTTGTATCCTTTAACAAATCTCTCCCTATCCCTCCTTCCTCCCCACATTTCCCAGCCTCTAGTGTCCTCTGTTCTACTAGGTAATGCTTTTATTTGACATTATTTTATTTATTTATTTATTTTTGAGTTAGAATCTTGCTTCGTCACCGGGCTGGAATGCCATGGCATGATCTCAGCTCACTGCAACCTCTGTTTCCCAGGTTCAAGCGATTCTCTTGCCTCAGCCTCCTCAGTAGCTGGGACCACAGGCACATGCCACCATGCCCAGCTAATTTTTGTATTTTTAATAGAGACAGGGTTTTGCCATGTTGACCAGGCTGTTCTCAAACTCCAGGCCTCAAGTGATCTGCCCGCCTCAGCCTCCCAAAGTGTTGGGATTACAGGCATGAGCCATCTCACCCAGCCAGTGATGTTTTAAAATACTTTATTTTATTTTAATTTTTATTTATTTATTTTTAAAATATTATTTCCTTTACAAAAAAGATGGTGTTTCACCATGTTGGTCAGGCTGGTCTTGAACTCCTGACCTCAGGTGATCCGCCTGCCTTGGCCTCCAAAGTGCTTGGATTACAGGCGTGAGCCACCACGCCCAGCCTAAAATGCTTTAAAATAACTGTTTTAAGGCCCACACCTGTAATTCCAGCACTTTGGGATTATGCCACAGGGTGTGGTGGCATGTGCCTGTGGTCCCAGCTACTGAGGAGGCTGAGGCAGGAGAATTGCTTGAACCCGGGAGGTGGAGGTTGCAGTGAGCCGAGATTGTGCCACTGCACTCCAGCCTGGGAAACAGAGCTACACTGTGTCCCAAAAAATAAAATAAAATAACTTTTAAAAATAATAATAATAAAATAACTTTTAAAACACCCATGTCTAGGCCGGGCGCGGTGGCTCACGCCTGTAATCTCAGCACTTTGGGAGGCCGAGGCGGGTGGATCACGAGGTCAAGAGATCGAGACTATCCTGGCCAACATGGTGAAACCCCGTCTCTACTAAAAATACAAAAAAAAATTAGCTGGGTGTGGTGGTGCGCGCCTGTAGTCCCAGCTACTTGGGAGGCTGAGGCAGGAGAATTGCTTGAACCCGGGAGGCGGAGGTTGCAGTGAGCCGAGGTCGCACCACTGCACTCCAGCCTGGTGCCTGGTGACGGAGTGAGATTCTGTCTCAAAAAAACAAAAATAAATAAAAATAAAATAAAATAAAACACCCACATCTTAAATTTGGGGTAATTGTAATTTCATTTTACAGTATATTGCCTATTTAATCTAGTCTCACACCACAGCATATCAAAAAGAACATGGAAGACTTACAGGTCTAAACTTTATGGCATTGTAGTGACAGATTGTCTAATCTTTCTTACCCTCAGTTTATTCTACTGTAAAAATGGGAATAAAAATCTTCCTTGTCAGGGATAATACCTTGCAGAATAGTGAGGGTTAACTGAAAAGATGTATGTGAAGATGCCTAAAAGTAAAGGGGTGTTGAATAAATGGTTAATGTTTCCTCATCTTACTACCAATTCCGCCTGTCACAGTGGATGCTTAGTAGATGCTGCTGATAAAGAAACATATTCTTTTAATAACTGACTATAACCCAACTACAACCATTTTCACTACTATAAAGAAAGGGAAATTCATTTGACTTAATGAAGAAAAGCAACACAAGCAAACCAAACTTAGAGAATAATATAATGCCAAGACCGAGATCTCTCAAGAGATAGTTTAAATCTGGGTTTACATTTTCCTCTACTTCAGGGCTCTTCTGGGATGTTGGTAGTGACCTATTTCTGAACCAAGATGGTGTCTATAAGGGTGTGTTCATGGTATGATAATTCATTTAGCTATATACTTAAGATCTGTGTATTTTCTATATGTATATATTATTCTTCAATTAAAAATGTAAAAAATTTCTCTGCAGAAACCATGCCCAAGTTCAAACAACAAAGAAGAAAGCTAAAAGCCAAAGCCAAAAGATTATTGAAAAAAACAGAAGCCTCCCACATTCAGTCCAAGCTAATTACACCTCCTCCTCCACCACCCTCACCAGAAAGGTAAGGAATAATGTGGAACAGAAAAAAATACTAGAAAGATCTGATCAGTTTAAGATAAAGTTTCCAGATTTAGCAAATAAAAATAGAAGGCAGGGCCAGGTGCAGTTACTCATGCCTGTAATCTTAACACTTTGGGAGGCTGAGGCGAGTGGATAACCTGAGGTCAGGAGTTCGAGACCATCCTGGCCAATGTGGCGAAATCCTGTCTCTACTAAAAATACAAAAACTAGCCAGACGTGATGGTGGTTATCTGTAATCCCAGCTACTTGAGAGGCTTAGGCAGGAGAACTGCTTGAACCCAGGAGGCAGAGGTTGCAGTGAGCCAAGTTAGTGCCAGTGCACTCCAGCCTGGGCAACAGAGCAAGACTCCATCTCAAAAAAAACAAAACAAAAAAAAAGAAGGCCCAGTTAAATTTGAATTTCAGATAAACAGTGAATAATTTTTTCATATAATTATGTCCTATATGATATTTGGAATATATTTATACTAAAATTATTCGTGCTTTATCTGAAATTAATTTTTTAATTTTAATTTTGATTTATTTATTTTTGAGATTGAGTCTTACTCTGTCACCTAAGCTGGAGTGCAGTAGCACAATCAAGGCTCACTGCAGCCTCGACTTCCTGGGCTCAAGTGATCCTCCCACCTCAGCCTCCCAAGTAGCTGGGACCATGGGTGCGTACCACCACACCTGACATATTTTTTATTTTTTGTAGAGGTGGAATCCCACTACGTTGCCCAGGCTGATTTCAAAATCCTGGGCTCAAGCAATCTTCCCGACTCAGCCCCCCAAAGTGCTGGGATTACAAGTGTGAGCCACTGTGCCCAGCCTGAAATTAAATTTTAACTGGACGTCCTGAATTTTACTTGGCAAACATAGTTTAAGAATTCTATAGGAGCACAGGGAAAACTTCCCCTTCCATTTCTGAAGGTTCATGGAAAAATCAACTAACAAAAGAAAAAGATTAATCAAAGAAAAGACATACAAATGTATTGATGTGCACACAGGGGAAAACCACAGAATGATTATCCCAACCCCTCAGTGGGGTTCAGTACCTTATATACCATCTTGAGGTTGCAGAGAGAATGGGAGCTTAGATTGTGTCAAAACAGCTTATGGGAGATGGAGAAGAGGAGGCCTGGCTAGCAAAGGTGGTCTTGTTTGCGATGAAACCTCACAAGTAGCAGCCCTCAGAGACAATAGATGGTAAATGTTTCTTTCAGATCTTTAAAGGTGCCAGGCTTTCTGTGAATCTTTTCTAGATCTGAATGGACAAGGGAAAGCCTCAGAGAAAGTCTGGCAGCATCAACGCAGATTTTCTTTACAGATGCAAATCTCTCCCACCAGAGACAACTTCACGGCTATTACTATATTTCTAGTCCTTCTGCATACTATCCTGAACTGTGTCAAGGACATCTATTTTGGGGCAAAATATTTTGGTTTCTGGCCTGGCACAGTGGCTCATGCCTGTAATCCCAGCACTTGGGGAGGCCAAGGTGAGAGAATCGATTGAGCCCAGGAGTTCAAGACCAGCCTGGGCAACATAGTGAAAACCTCATCTCCAAATAATAAAAGTAAAGTTATAGCACTGAAATGTCCTTTGATGTGATAAAAAAAAAAAAAAAAAAAAAAAAAAAAAAAAAAAAAAAAAAAAAAAAAAAAAAAAAAAAAAAAGAAAGAAAGAAAGAAAAAGAAAAAGAAAAGTAAAGTTAAAAGAAAGAGAAATATTTTGGTTTCCTTCACTTCATTTGAAGTGAAAATAACAAGGAATTATATTCAAATGCAAAGTAACTACTTTTTTCTTCCCTTGTGAATTTAATGGCATAAATCTGGTAACTAAATAATGAAAGAAGGGCATAGGACTGCAATTGCCTGACAGGTTCTCCTTGTCCATTGCCCAGAAAAAGCCAGTTCACTGAGATAGTGGAATTGCAGTAGAAAAAGAACTTAATAAATGCAGAGCTGACTAAGTGACAGACCAGAGTTTCTTACTATAATCAATTTCCCCAAAAATTCAGAGACTAGGGTTTTTTAAGGATAATTTGGTAGATAGCGGGCTAGAGAATGTGGAATGCTTATTGGTTGGGTAGAGATGAAATCACAGGGGGTCAAAGTGTGTTCTTCTTGCTGTCTTCAGTTCCTAGGTAGGATCACAGAACAAGTTGAGCCAGTTTTCCAGTCTGGGTGGTGCCAGCTGGTCCATCAGAATGCAGGGCCTAAAAAATATCTTGGGCCAGATACCAGGGCTCACACCTGTTATCCCAGCACATTTAGAGACAAAGGCAGAAAGATCACTTGAGCTCAGGAATTCAAGACCAGCCTGGGCAACACAGCAAAACTTTGTCTCTATTAAAAATTAAAAATAAACCAGGCGGGGTGGCTCAAGCCTGTAATCCCAGCACTTTGGGAGGCTGAGGCGGGTGGATCACAAGTTCAGGAGTTCGAGACCAGCCTGGCCAATATGTAGAAACCCCATCTCTACTAAAAATACAAAATTATCCAGGCATGGTGGTGCATGCCTGTAATCAATCCCAGCCACTCGGGAGGCTGAGCCAAGAGAATTGTTTGAACTCCAGGAGGTGGAGGTTGCAGTGAGCCGAGATCTGGCCACACTCCAGCCTTGGCAACAAAAGGGAAACTCTGTCTCAGAAAAATAATAAAAATAATTAAAAATGATTATCCAGCATGGTGGCATGCACATGTAGTCCCAGCTATTCAGGAGGCTAAGGTGTGAGGAATGCTTGAGGCCAGGAGATCCAGACTACAGTGAGCTATAATTGTGCCACTGCACTCCAGCCTGAGTGACAGAGACCCTGTCTCAAAAAAAGAAAAAGACCTTGAACAGCAATCTTAGGTTTCACAATAGTGATGTTATCCATAGGAGCAACTGGGTAGGTTAGGAATCTTGTTGCCTCTGGCTGTATGACTCCTGAACCATAATTTCTAATCTTGTGGCTAAATTGTTAGTTTTACAAAGGTGATCTAGTCCCCAAACCAGGACAAGGTTTGTTTTGTGAAGGGGCTGTTAGCATCTTTGTTTCAAAGTTAAACTGTAAACTATATTTTTCCCATAGTTAGCTCTACCTATACCCAGGAATGAAGAAGGGCAGCTTGGAGGTTAAAAACAAGATGGGTCAATTAAGTCAGATTTCTTTCACTGTCATAATTTTCCTCTGTCAGATTTTGTTCTCACTGTCACAATTTTTGCAAAGGCAATTTCAGGACTAGAATTTAAAGCTTCATTTAAAATATTAGTTTAAGTTTGGGAATTTATTTTCTGACACTCACAACTTAAATGGGCCATTCAAAGAGATGAGACTCTGGGCCAGCATGGTGGCTCATACCTGTAATCCCAGCACTTTGGGAGGCTGAGGCTAGAGCATCACTTGAACCTAGGAGTTCAAGGTTACAGTGATTAAAAACAAAAAAGAAAGAGATTCTGAGTTCCTAGGGGGCTGGTTTTCACAGTAACTTTTTTGTTATAGCTCTTTTTACAGAAAGTTTTTTAAAACAAACAGACCCTTGCAGTGCAGTAACCATGATAATACCACCTTGATTCATTTCTCTCTCTCTTGAATATTGTAATAGCCTCCTAACTGGTCCTCCTGCTTATATCTTTGTCCCTCTGCCATGGATTCTCAATGCAGTAGCCAGAGCAAGCTTTGGAAAAAAAAATTTTTTTAATTAGTGCTTGTTTATTTAATTCTATTTACTTCTTCTTCTTCTTCTTTTTTTTTTTTTTTTTTGAGACAGAGTCTTGCTCTGTCTCCCAGGCTGGAGTGCTGTGGTACCATTTCTGCTCACTGCAGTCTCCACCTCCTCCTGGGTTTAAGCAATTCTCCTGCCTCAGCCGCCCAAGTAGCTGGGACTACAGGTGTACATCATGACACCAGGCTTTTTTTTTTTTTTTTTTGACAGAGTTTTGCTCTTGTTGCCCAGGCTGAGTGTAATAGCGAGATCTTCGCTCACTGCAACCTCTGCCTCCTGGGTTCAAACTATTCTCTTGCCTCACCTTCCCACCACACACAGCTAATTTTTGTATTTTTAGTAGAGATGGGGGTTTCACCATGTTGGCCAGGCTGGTCTTGAGCTCCTGACCTCAAGTGATCTGCCTGCCTCAGTCTCCCAAAGTGCTGAGATTACAGGAGTGAGCCCTACACCCAACCAATTTTGTTTACTTCTATCAGGTGCGTGTGTGGGCTCCCTATAACACACCCAGTTTCTAACATGGTAGTTACAAGACAGGTGAGACTATTTACCCATTGGTCTTCTTTTGTTTAATTTTCTGTCAAAGTAAATACAGTTACATTTAATTGCTAGATAGTTTTCCCCAATCATGTTGCCATAGTACACAAAGTTAATGCTAAAATGTAACTTACCTAATCCCTAGATCTCAGCTCACTGCAACCTCCACCTCCCAGGTTCAAGCGATTCTCCTGCCTCAGCCTCCCATGTAACCGGAATTACAGGTGCCCATGACTGCGCCCAGCTAATTTTTCTATTTTTAGTAAAGACAGGATTTCTCCATGTTGGCCAGGATGGTTTCGAACTCCTGACTTCAGGTAATCCACCTGCCTTGGCCTCCCAAAGTGCTGGGATTACAGGCATGAGCCACTGTGCTCGGCCAACAGGTATTTTCTTTAGGAAAAAATTTCAAGTTAATAAACCACTTTAGGCCAAAGTAGGAATTCACCATTCATGCTTACTTTGTGATTACTGAGTTTCTATTTCAATTCAATGGAAATGGATTTGGTTTTTGTTTGTTTTTATGAGGATTTGTTGTACATATTATTACATCACCCAGGTGTTAAGCTCAGTACTGGATAGTTACCTTTTCTGTTCCTCTCCCTCCTCCCATCCTTACGCCTTGTGAAAAGTAGAGTCATGTTTCTCCTTTACTTAAAATTCTCTAATGTCTTTTTCTATCAGAATAAAAATTAAAGTTCTTGGTATGACCAACAGGGCCTTTATGATCTGACTCTGACCTTATTTTATTTTTTTAGACGAGGCCTCACTCTGTTGCCCAGGCTGGAGTTAGTGCAATGGAGATCTGAGCTCACTGCAATCTCTACCTCCCTGGCTCAAACAGTCCTCCCGCCTCAGCCCCCGGAGTATCTGGGACTAGCACACGCCACCATACACAGCTAATATTTGTATTTTTTTGTAGATTTTGTTTTTGTTTTTGTTTTTCAGATGGGGTCTCACTCTGTCACCCAGGCTGGAGTGCAGTGGCACAATCTTGGCTCACTGTAACCTTTGACTCCAGGGTTCAAGCAATTCTTGTGCCTCAGCCTCCTTAGTAGCTGGGACCACAGGCGCGCACCACCATATTTTGGTAGAGACAGGGTTTTGCCATGTTAGCCAGGCTGGTCTCAAACTTCTGAGCTGGAACAATTCATCAGCCTTGGCAACCAAAAGTGCTGGGATTATAAGCGTGAGCCACTGCACCCAGCTTAATTTTCTAAGTTTTTTTCTTTTTTTTTTTTTTTTTTTTTTTTTT